CACCTCACACAGACAGGTGTAGGGGGGCTCACCTCACGCAGACAGGTGTAGGGGGGCTCACCTCACGCAGACAGGTGTGGGGGGGCTCACCTCACACAGACAGGTGTAGGGGGGCCTCACCTCACACACACAGGTATGGGGGGGTCACCTCACACAGACAGGTGTGGGGGGGCTCACCTCATGCAGACAGGTGTACTGGACATGGTACGGCGCCACCTTCTCCTCGCCTTTGATCTCCACACTGATGTGAAGCCGAATGGCCCCTGACACGGCGGACTTGTCTGTCCTCTTGTCTGTGGGTTGTGGGGGTGATGTTAGAAGCTCTGCATCCTCCCTGACCCCCTGGGGTTCCTCTTGTGCTACATCTCCTCCAGCTCCAGCCTCCCCGAGCCCTGCCTCACTCACCCAGATTGTACCACACGTCCATCTCGCCACTGAGCGTCCGCACCTCGATGATGGTCTGCCCCAGGAAGTCGTCAGACTCCCTCTTAAATCTCTGCTTCACGCGAGACTTGATATCGTCATCTTCGTCCCAGACGCGCACTTTGATGCGGTCGGAGGAGTTGTGGCACTCACTGCATGGGGTTGGATGGAAGGGCAGGCGTCAGGCAGCTGAGCCGTCTGCTGTCAGAGGCCTGTGACCTGGCCCAGAAGTGAGCGCCACTCACAAGTGGAAGTTCTCTTCCCACACCGGGTTCAGGTTCCCATAGATAGTCTTTGTCCTTTTCTTGGTCTTCCCAACCTGGACGGTGACGTAGGGATCACTGGATCCCGTCTTGTCCTTGGCCTGCAAGCCCTGGGCACAGACCACTGAAAGACACGCACCACACAAAAGTGCTTTCAAGAGGGGGACTTGCCAAAAGCCCACTAGCACATGCTCCAGGAGACCTGTGGCATGGCCAGACACAGACAGCCCAGCGAGTCCTGCTAGAGAGCTGCAACAGGACCACACCGTGTATCCACCACCCACCCACCCATCCCTCTCTCCAGTCATCATCCACACACCCACACATTCAATTCTGTAGCTGCCCAACCTTCTATCCACCTACCCACCCATCCTACCACCCATCCATCCAAGCCTCCAGCCACTTATCCACCCATCCACCCACCCATCAACCCATCCATCCACCCATCCACCCATCCATCCATCCACCCATCCATCCATCCACCCATCCATCCATCCACCCATCCACCCATCCATCCCTCCACCCA